TTAGAGACAGCAGGCACACGTGCATCTGTGTACTCATACGTACACGGCCAGCATGCAACCAGGCAGGGTATTGGGAGCCGCTCCAGCAGCTGGATGCAGGTAAGTGTATGGGGAGTGGGGCTTGGAGGGCCAAGGCTTGGGGGCTGTCCAGGAAGGGGGTGCATGTGCAAAGGGGCTCTGTGTGTGTGGGGGAGGGGTTGCCTGCCAGAACTAGGGGAGGGTGATCAGGTGCAGAGGCTGCAACAGGGCAGGGGGGAGGCACCTGCCCCACCAGTGGGTAAGGGGTGGAGGAGGGTTCTTCAGGGGCAGCGGGGAGCTCCATGGCAGGGCCAGCAGCACTGGGGCTAGTGCCCATACTTGCAGGGGCAGTGAGGCAGGGAAATGCTACTCAGTGGGCAGGTGAGGCTGTGACCAAGCTGTCTAGAGCAGCATGGGAGCCCCAGCCCAGGGCAGGGAGGGTGCCACAGGTCTCTTCTCCTTCCTCCAGCCTGTGCCATGGCTGGACTTGCTCTGTTGCCACCTGCATAAGTCGGAGCTGTTGCAGCCACATGCTCTGGCCCAAGCAGGACAGGGGCAGCTGGGGGTCCCCTCCAGCAGAGCTGGTGGAGGCAGGGAGCTGCTGGTTGGGAGTAAGGGGCAACAATATGGCTCATAGGGGTGAGGGTCTGTGGGTCAGGAGTGAGGGGCATCAGCCAGGCCAGGGAGCTGTGGATCAGAAGTGAGAGGTACCAGCAGGGCCAGGGGGCTGTGGGTCAGGATGTTTACAAATGGGTCCTGGTACAAAAAAGGTTGAGAACTGATATAACAGACCTCCTGCCATTACAGTTAGATGGCAGAACACAGCAATGGGGCACAACATACATCAATTGAAGAGGCTTTTCTACCAGTTTTATTGTACCTTCTCTCCAAATCAAATAAGTCAATCTGACAGAAGACCTTTTCTGTTGACATTTGTGAGTACACACTAAGGGTTTTGCTAAGGTGGTCAGGGAGTGTAATCCTTTCACACCTCTTGATGACATAGCTATGCTAGCAAAACTTTGTAGTATAGCACTGGCCTAAGATCAGATTTTTCTTGTTCTTTAAAATTATTCAAAACAAACTTACCACTAGTATACCAAGTGGGAGGTGCAGGTTGCCTGTACAGGAAGGAAACTGATGAAACTGCATACAATAAACAAGAAAATCATTAGAAGAACTAAAATTAAAATGAATATTTTCACATTGTACATACTGGCTAAATCTCAAATCCTATCTTAGTTTTAAGGCATAAGTGCCATGGAAAGTTTGATTAGCTGCAGCATGATAGTTTTTGCCACTCCTTAATCAGGCATAATGATAACAAGATAGATGCTCTCTATGGCACTGGTTTTCAATCTTCTTCCATTTGTGGACTGCTAAATTTTTTTGAATGGAGGTGTGGACCCCTTTGTATTGTAGGTGTGGATATTCACATACTTTTGACTGATCATAGTCATCTTATGTGGACCACTTAGACATAAACTGTGGACCCCCAGGGGTCTGCAGACCACCGGTTGAAAACCACTGCTTTAAGGTGTTTATGCTCACCATTTGAAGCAAAGGACATTTTTTCCATTGCTGCCAACATCAGATTCCTACTGAGTATTTATTAAGGCAGTTGCACCAGCATTGTGGGTAATGGAAGTTCAAGGTCTTCCTCTGAATCAGGCAGAGCAGGGACATAAACATGGCTCCCTCTACACCCCAAGTGATTGTGACACAGAAACCAACTTTGTATGTTTTTAGTAGTTATACCAATCTCTCCTGTTTCTCCTGTTGGAGTTGTTTCACTTTGTGTAAATTATTTTAATATCCATTTGACCAGAGACACTAACACACTATACCTCATTAGTTTGGGCAGCCACTGGGAGATCCTACTGTTTCCTGAAATTTTTCAGTTTTGACAAATTAGCATTTTCTAATTAAAAATGTTTAATTGGAAAATTCCTAACCAGACCCAGAATTGCTCAATTTTTTTATGTAATGTTCAATTTGCTAGAATAGTCTTGGCATTTTGTTGAAATATGGGTGTAAACACAAATGAAACTATTTCCATCTGTTTCATTAATTCTATTGCCTAATATTTTTCCTCTGACAAACATTATTTAATTCAGAAAACTGAGCTTATAACTTACCTTGGTGAGTGACTGGGGCAGACCTTGCTGTGAATGAAATAAAAAACTTTATAGCATATAACTGAATGACCAAAGAACTACCACTACCAAAACCCATTCTCCCCAATTTCTTGCAGATATCTGCTGATTTCTAGATATTTAGGAAATACAGGCAACATTTACCCCTGCACTCCAGTCTTGGAGAACTATAGATCTAGCACAGCCAAGGAAATGTCATATTGTATTTGAGCAGTCTTTTTAAGCCAATAGTGGTATACACTACACAGTTTAAGTTAGTTCAGGTACTGGAAGTTCAGTTGCATTAGTGTGATGCTTTGGCTGGTTAATTGACCCTACTAGCATTGTTAACATGCAGAGATGCAGTGAACTTATTGAGCGCCCAGGGTAGGGGGAGGTAGGAGTCTGGAGGATTGCAAACTTACCAGTATTTAAAATAAAAGCCAAGAATTTCATGTATTCCTATGATTCCAGAAGTGGCAGCTTTATACAAACACTAAATATTGGAAGACTTGTGATCTAATCACTAGAATTGGCAACATTACTGTGTATATATTACAAATAGAGGTGCACCAGTATATCAGTCACATATCAGATCAGCACTGATAAAAGGAAAATGAACATTATCGGCAATCGACTTTCTTTGGCTGATAATGTCACCAATAAATGCTGCATGCATGTGCGCAGCTGCAGCATGCATGTGGCCAGAAGGCAGCCAGGCAGCTTGGAGAGCAGCATCCAGCTGGTAAGTCTGTGGAGGGAAAGGAGTGTGGGGGAGGGAAGGGGTGTGAGGGGACAGATTGAGGCCCCTACAGAGAGGGAGGGAGTGGGGCAGGGGCAGAGGCTGCCCAGCCAAAGCAGTGAATGTGACCCCAGAAGTGGGACGGAGCCACAGACGGGTCATCCAGGGGGTGCAGGGGGGTGGGGTAGGGGGACATGTGGGCAGGATGTCCACTGTAAGCCCACAGCCAGGGGGTACAGGGAGGCTGGGCCGGGGCTGGGCTCTGAGCAGGCAGTGGTGGCACTGGGACAGGTGGCACTGGGTGGGCTATAGCCACCCCGCCCAGTGCTGCTACCATCTGCCCACCCCAAGTGCAGCCCAGGCCCAGCCCCACCCCCCACCAGGAATAGACTGGTGCAGCATCTGGACTGAAGCTCACAGCCTGCCCTTGCCCTACAGAAAAAATCCCGGGGGCACAGGCCTCCCTTGGGGGTACACACAGCAGCAGGGAGCCACCCCACCTTCCCACCTTCCCAGAAGAGCCACCTGTGGCTCCATCCTGCTTCAGGGGTCTCATTCAATGCCCTGGCTGGGCAGCACATGCCCCTGCCCCACTTTCTCCCTCATCATGGGGGCTTCAATCTGCCCCCCTCCATGCCCCTTCCCTTTTATCCAACCCTTCCCCCCTCACAGACTTAGCAGCAGGAGACTGCTCTCCAAGCTGCCAGGCTGCATTCCTATAAATTGGCTATCAGATTGGTATCAGCCAATATGGCTGGTTCATAATCAGCCATTGGTATCAGCCAAGAACAAATTTATCAGTGTGCCCCTAGTCATAAATGCATACCTTATTTCTTAACTGTACTGCAGCAATGCCAAAAGGTACTAGTGGGTTTCAGACATTGGTATGATAGGTGTTAAGGCATGAACTGAATCAAAATTGAGATTAATAACAACTTAATAACAAATATTTGTAAGATGCCTGAGCCACCTCCCCAAAGACCTCTACACCAATCCTTTAGCACTAGGGTTCTGTTTGAAGGATTCTCAAGGAGAATGTGGAGCCAGCTCTCAGAAATTCTCATTTTATCCTACTAAACTCTGTAGCTGGAAGTCAAATGATATGCATCTACTTGCTCCCTGCACATTTTCAGTCTCCTCTACTTCTCCCTTGTGGACTCAAAACCTCGGAAGCAACTTGTGTGGAGGATAGAGGCGGCAAGGGTTTCTAATTGAAAAGGCAGTTGACATCTCCTGACTCCTACGTACAAAGAAGGAATCTGCATAAAGAGTTTCCTCTGTATAGTTAGCTGAGAATCAATTATTCAAGGCAACAAGCAATTCATCTTAATTACTTATATTAAGTACCTATATTCTATAATGATGGATACATTATAATTTTTGAAGACTGATGGAGCTGAGAATTCAATGAAAACATTATTTACAGTTATTCAGTTTGAAAATGTTCATAAAATATTAACACACACATGATTTATTCAACTGGAATATTACTCACATTTTAAAGTGAATTGTGTGTCAAATAATTGATTCAAAAATATTATTCAATGACCTCTAATAATCAAAAGTGTTTGCTAAGATAAATATAATTAAATATAAATTTACCTTCAGCTGTTTCAAGAAATGGACGAGACAGAGTAAAAAAAAGAAAACGACAATTTCACTCATACAGGTAAGTAGTTGGATAATAAGCTGGATAAATATGGATAAAAGTGTAACACACTGAATTAGATATTCTGAAAAAAAAATTAAAAATTCAGATTCATGTCATATTTTACATTTCAAGCCCATTTCTCTGATGAGCAACTGTAAAAAGATTGTATAAGGAACAAATTAAATGTAGATACTCACATGTGGGACCATAAATCTAGATTCAGTTTTGCACATGACAAAGTATTAATCTCTGGTAACTGCTTTACCTCTACGTTAATTTCAAATAGATGCCAAGATCTCCTTATCAATGTTACTCTTTCAGTTTTCTTGGCATTTCATAGTTTCATAGTTTCATAGTTTCATAGTTTTTAGGGTCGGAAAGGACCTGAGCAGATCATCTAGTCCGCCCCCCTGCCATGGCAGGAAGAGCACTGGTCATCTAACCTCCTCTTAAAAACCCCCAGGGTGG